AAATGCGGGTACATAGTGAACATTTTCTTCTATAAAATTAAGTTTATTAGCAACAGAAAGTGGCTACACAAATGAAGTAACAACACATATCTGTCATGTGGGGCAGAATGTATGGCGCAGGCACAATGATAAGGACAGGCAGCCTACTGCTTGATCCTCACGATAGCCTAGGGGATCCCCGTATCAATTAGTTTCCAAGTTTGTTAGTGCTTGCCTTATGTCGTAAGCCTTCCTTTTACCCCAACCATCTATATTCTAGCTATGTAAAGCTATCAATAAACAGAAAACGAGATTAGGCTCCAACCCTAAGCACATGACAATATCTTCCATAGAAAAGGTGCCAATTTATTTGCGAGTATGTATGAGACTGCAGTCGGTTGTAGCTTGTGAGTCCTGACAGTGAGATGACAATTAGACACCAACTGAGTGCTACCATTTTTCTTTCATTGGATAACTAACCACCCACTTAATGGAAACTGCTAACAGCGAAAGAACACAGTGATGCAGCGCATTCGCAAATACAAATATTGCTGATATGCAAGCAAAGTTACCAGCGGTCCGTCGCTTGACAGAAATCTACCTCCATCACCACGCTTACGCCTTTCCGCCAAAGCTTGGCATGAGACAATCTAAAATGGACAAGAACACGTACTTACCAAATAAGCAAAGGATCATACAATATTATATTTATATCTACGATTACTTTCAGTTGATATAGGGCCGATTACCCAGACACTTGAACATTCTAACATATGTTTATGTCCTGATATATGCAACACACATTGGTAAAAACAGGCCATAAATATTGATGTGCCAGGTATATAACCTTTTTTCTGAAATGAGCAAGTATGTGGGCCTCATTGTAGCAATGAGGCCTACTTACATCGTATTCTACAGTCCACAATCCACATAATACAGTATTGCAAATTATGATATATTCTATATCACCATCACAACAAACAGCAAGGTGGAAGTGATTTACCTTGGCAGGCCTGCCCGAGGCAGGTCTGCTCTGTCGCTTCGAGAGATACTTATTAAGTATCTTCTTTCTCTCATCAACAGCGCACTGCGACGCCATCACACCAAGGTCCGTCGACACACATGCCTGAAGGGCATTATCCTCTGTAACAGCCTTTCTCGGCCTCCCCCTCCCTCTCTTTTCCTTGACCTCCACCTCCTTTTCCATTTCACCCTCATGAGCATCAGAATTAGCATCGTCGCCGTCACCGAGGTCATGGGCACCATCCTGTGCAGCATCCTCCACCTCAACATGTTCCTCCTCCAGTTCGACGACAGACTCGACATCCTTCTCCACAGCATCCTTCTTATCCCCACCTCTCCCCAAATTCTCCGTACTAGGTACTGCTTGCCCATTCCCTGTGCCTGCTGTTGCGACACCCTTCTCCACCGAGTTCTTCACCTTGATCACCGGCGTGCTCTTCTTCCCGGGCTTGCGGCCCCTCTTCTTATGCGCCCCAACCTTCCCTTCCCCTTCCCCTTCCCCCGCGGCACCCTCCTCCACCTCCTTCGGGGCTGCCGAATCCTTGGCTTTGTTACCCTTCCTGTAGGAGTAATTGCCTCTGCAGCAGAGGAACCGCTGCATGATCATGCCCCCCGTGCCGGCCGAGCGGCGGTTGGAGCCGGTGCGCGCCTTGAACCCGGCCCTCTCGCCGTAGCCGTAGTAGAAGCCCTTGGCGTCCTGGACGGAGTCGAACTCCATCCCTAGCTCCGGCGCGGCCGCGGCCGCGGAGGGGGCAGCCTCCCCCGTAGCCGCCGCTTCCAGCACGTGGTTGTGCTCCACCACCAGCTTGGACACCTTCCACTTGCCCTCATCCCCGCCCACCCCGCCGTCCTTCCTCACCACCTCCATCATCGCCCTGCACCGTTCGTCGGGCGGTCCCGCGGGCGCTGGCGACGCCTCCTCCTCGCTGGCGGGGCCGGCCTGGCGGAGCGAGAGGTAGCCGCGGGAGAGCGGCTCGCCGGGCTCCGCCGGCGGGGGCGGATCGGAGGAGCTCGCGGGCGGCCCCAGCGGCG